TGTGATGGACTTTTGATGTTTAAAGTACCCACTGAGTTTAAACATTTTGGTTTTTCCCTAGAGCTGTCCCCACTTGAACTGAGTGCTTTCCTCAATGCCCTTCCATGTTCCTTGGCATTCCACAGAGATACAAATTTTAAGTTTTTGAGTTTGATAAAAGAGGTGAGATCTGGACTGTAAAAATAAAGGTTTCAATTTTAATTTCCTTTTTTTTTTCTTTTGGGTTCAGTTTTGTTTTTTAGGTAAGCTGGGTTTAAAAAAACACTACTTTACTTAACTGCTGCCCTTGCAATTATTTCAGTCCGAGAGAAACAAGAGGAACCTTTTCTTTTCAAGACAAATGACATCAAAGTAACAAGTACCTTTCTACCTTTTTTTTCAGGCACGTCGTATTTGCTTTGGACTCAAAAACTGTTTCTCCTTCATGCTATCGTGTCAGTTAGTTCTTTCTGCCACGATGCTTCTGTCAGCATGTTTCGTCCTCCCACCTCCCCTAACAGGGCTTCATCTTCTGTGGTTGTCATGCCTTATAGTACCTCTGCTGAGTCTATCATTAATTGGCTCTCCAGCTGATCCAAATCTTATGACAATGATGACAGGCAAAAATGACAAAAACTTCAAGGTAACTTTTTATAATAGTTCACTGCCAGGTGGGCTTTTAGTGTATAGAACTGGGTTGTGATGTCTCAGACAGTGAGCGTCTTTTGTTTTCTGCAATGAATGCATGGCTTTTTCAGCTAACCAACAACATTGGTTGCAAGGATTGTAAAATTTTGTCAGTAGAGAATTCTGCTCCTCCCTTGCTCCAGTGTAATATTGACCAAACAATTCAATGTGACAAAAATTGCATTTTAGTAAATTTTAGACCATTGTTTTAATTTGCATAAATAAATAATAAATAAAATAAAATTGTGGATTTATATTGTGCCATTTCCATGTCGAGATGATCAACTGCGTCCCTAAGCTAAATACTGAAAAACATTTTTTTTCCTTTTAGGACATCACCTATACAGTTTGTTTTTTCTTCAGTGTTTGTTTCTTTCCCTCGCTTTGTATCTGCTGCCTTCTGCTGTTCCCCTTAAATCTCCATGGATTTTGCATCTCTGTGAACAAGAAATCTACTAACTGTCACTACCTGCTTGGATTTAGGTAAGTGACCATTACTAACTTGTGTGTAAACTCAGTCACTTTTGGCTGGTTCACACTCAGACCAGCTGTACATGGCATGTTTTCATACTAAATTGTTTTACTGATCTTGGGATGTTTCTCTGGGACATAAATATCATGCAAAGTCCCAATAAGATATAACTGAAATTTCAACTGAAAGAAGGGTGATATTTGTTTTTTCCCTATTTGATGATTATGTTTTTTTTTTCTTTTTCCCAATGGTATAGGAACACCACAGAACTATGGAATGGTCTAAGGGAGAGTCATATTCAAGCATTAGCCATGGCACAGGACATCAATGCATTTTTTCTAGTTCTAATTTTTGGTAGGTTTTCAGAAACAGAGAAATGAATAAAGGCTGATAGTTTCTAAAGAAACTGTTTGGGGCTGCGTCGGTGGGGGTAACGAAATAATTTGGATATATCAACAAAGTTGAAATGGTAAATTGGCCACCATAACGATTACAAAAGCTTTTGTAATCGTTACGGTGGCCAATTTACTATTTCAACTTTATTGATATATCCAAATTATTTCAGAAACATAGGTCTACTGTATTAAGGTGCAGATCAGATCAGGGGGAAGCAACTTCTGATATCTTGCTGCCATTATAATAATATTTTACAGTTCCAATTTTAATTTCTTATGTATTTTATCAGTTTCTTTGACTTAAAAAAAAAAGAAGAAAGGGTTAAGCATAGTTAGTGTATAACTCAGAAAGCCATGAATGCTCAGTATAAAGGCAAACTAAAAAGCAAATGTAATGGTAAACAATTTGAGGTTTTGAGGGTTTCTTCCTATGTCCTGAACATGATTGTGATTGGTTGGTACATAATTGTTCTACCAAAATCAAATAAGAGCTGTCCTCAGTTTTCAGAGTTTCACACTCAGTTAAAAGTATTTGAAATGAAATTTTTTTCCTAAGAGATGTGTGTGTAAATCTTCTTGGTTTAGCAATTTCAAGTTTAAGCCAAGATTGAAAGGCATCATCAAAATAGTTTGTTAACTAAAGCTCCCTTGGAACATTGCTCTTGGTTCTTGCAATTCATTCCAACTGAATGAATTGATTTTATAACTACATGATGCTGGATTTGTACTTAGACAGTGGCACAAAGTTAAAACTTTCCTTTTACTCCAAAAATACAGCTTGCTTTTACACACAAGCCTTTTTTTCGCACGGATGTATTTAAATATTCTTTCCGGAACAGATATATTGATTGTTGGAATAAGCTACCATCATCTGTCTTAGATCATGAATCTGTAAATAGCTTTGTAAAAGCGTTGAAAAAAGTCTATTTTAAATTATTTATATATCTATAGCATATTTTTAAAATTCTTACACATGCATGTATTGTTAAAGTATTTGTATAGATATATGTAATTTATTGTAATTAGAATATGGGGTATAGTTAATATGGGGATTAAATTCCTCCCTCTATGACCCAATTGTAATGTAATGTAATATAATGTGAATTACGATTACGATTACCATAAAGCTGTTATATATATTATATGTACAAAGTAACAATCCTTGGTGGGATATTGTCATGTTTTATCTCTGCTAGTCTTCAATACTTTGACAATCAGCCTGATGAATGTATTTGGATGTCTCCATTTTAGTGTTCCTGTCTTCAAGTTATGTACATCGTCTTCATTTGCTCTGGAGGAAATCACCATTTGTAAACAGGTCATGGATCATTTCAGCCGTGATTATGTAGGTCCTTCGAGTATTTGTATTCATTTAGTTTTATCAAATAATTGTGCTGTCTTAAAGTTTCATCAAAACAATAATCATTGATTGTGGCATTCATCACAAGAGATAAAATTTTATTACAACTTGTTTAAAAAATGATGGCTATTTGTCACAAAAACTCTTTGGTGTAATATGTGGGTCAGTCCAAGGGGAATGGATGCAAAGCTTTTTTATTGAGAGAATATTGGTTAAAACACTTCTTTTTAACATGCTAGACATTTGTCAAGGTCTCTTGAGTGTGCTTGCAAGTATTACAGTCACAATACATTTTGTCAAGGAAATGGTCATGGAAAATTTTTATTTTGCTCCAGAAATGAAAGCTTGTTCTCGCTCATTCAAAAGTATCTGTAACAGTTGACTTCTTGTATTTTGAGATTCCACAGAGCAACCTAACCTTTCACAAAATTGTCTTCAAATGGGCAAAAAAAAAAAAATACATGTGGCACATACACCTCACTGGCAGCAGTCTCCATCGATAGTTTACGAACAGGTACTGCTCTGTTTAGTGCAAAAAAGAGAAAACAACCAAAAAAAAAAAACAAGAGAACTGAGGAATGGAAAAAAGTAGTGTCTAAGGTAAATAGTCTGGTTCCCAAGCAGGATTCAAAATGGCAGCATCTATAGTCTAACTTTTAGCAAATTGAAGACAACTTTTTAAGGTTCAGTTACTCTCTGGCATCTCAAAATTCAGTTCAGTGTGCCATGATTTCTTACAAACTATTTTTAACTTAGCAGATAACAGGCACATGGTTTCTGAAGAAAACTTCACCTTTGAACTAATTTTAGGCTTGTGTTTTTGACCAACAGTTTAATACTTCAGGTAATTTACTTCACTTTGTCCCAAGTTGGGTGGAGTCAAGATGCCCCTTTAGTGTTTCATCTGACCGATGTTCCAGTGCCATCAATGATCATCATCTTTCTTTGGCCCATTGTAGCTCTAGGAATTTGTGAACTATTCAAGAGGCGATACATAAAGTAAGATCTCTTTCTAAGTCTTCATGGGAGCATCCAAATCAATTTTTGTACAGTTTTGAAAATATTGTTTGTTGGAGTGAAGGACTATTGGTTGAGTGTTTCAGAGCTTTTTGATACATATTCCTAAGATTGCCCGAAAATTACAAATCCACATTTGAACTGACTACCTAAGACTAACAATAACTTAAGAGAATATGGGCCAGTTATTTACACGAGGTCTAACCCAAACCATGGTTTCACACAAGCAGTGGGCCTTGCACATTCTCTTTAAGAGGGTTCCTTCCATTAAATAACTGTCCTTCCACAGCTAGCTTTCAGCCTTCTTGACACTGTTTACAAAAATAAATGTACAGATAAAAGATTCAGCTGATTTTAAGGCTTAGAACATGGTTTTGTTAAACAATGGCTAAACTTAGTTTAAATTACTGGCCCTAGATCTTAACTGTATTTAACCATGATGCAGAACCACGCCTTCTTTTTGAATACTTTCATTCACTGACATCTGTTAAGATAACTGACCAGTAGCAGTATAACATGTGAGAATGTTTAGGGTTTACAGTTGACTCTTAACTTCTCTAGCAAAGTACTTCTTTGAGGTTGCTACACCAATAGCATCGGTGCTGTAACAGCTTTACTTAGTTTTAGTACATAAAATCTGATTTCACACAGCATGTTTTTCTGGTTTTGTCTTTGCAGGGAAAGGATCCGGTTTCAAAAGAGAGCCAAGTTAAAGTTTGGTACAAAATTAGGAATGAATTCACCATTCTGATTAACCATTTTTGTAAATTACAATTTTCTAACTCAAACTTGAAGGGGATTCAGAAATATATAAGAAGGGTACAGAAATATTTGGGTGAGAGTTCACACTCACTTGTTACGTAAAACACATGACCTTATCCCTGAAAAGATGGTTGCAGGTTGCACTGAATAAACAAGTTAAAACTAAAAATCCAAGGAAAAAAATGGGCAAACTTTATCACCTCACCAGCAAATCGAAGAAGATGATAAGTAACTTCTTTAAAGGCAGCATAAAAACTCAAAATTCACCTCATAATGGGATGTTGTGAATTTATTATTTTCAACTAAAAAGTGAATTTTCTTTTATTTCGGAAGATCATTTACTTCCACCATGATGTTGTTTAAAACAATACTTTCATGTGTGTGCTATCCTCACCAAACTATGAAACAGTTACAGAAAGATTGTGTATTTTGTACAGTTTATACCTTGTTCTATTTCTTTATTTTTAACTCTATTTTTAGGTAGCAATGTTGTGCAAAGTTAAAAGAAAGTGAGAATAAAAAATGTATTAGTTGTTATTGTTAAAGATGTGAGTTTACACATTTTCTTAAGTGTTTAAAGTCAATACAGAAAAATATGTAATACCTTGTAGCTTGTAAAGCAATAAGTTTTACTTTCACCACTTTCAGCTTGCCTCAAACATGAATTTTGAGGTTAAATGTAAGAGCATTTCAGAACTAATTGGTATTGCTCAAGCCAATTTTATCTGTGAAAGTAATTAATTTAATGAAAGTAAGGTGAAACCCAAACAAAAGAGCCCACTCACAATGAGTGGTTAGAGGCCTTACAAGGGGGGGAGGGGATGGGATGACTAGCCTACTGGTCAGTAACCAGCTTTCACTGAAACCTTCAAAAGTAGCTATCATAGTTTTCTGTAGATCGGTTTTGTTGTCACAGTTTTTTCAGTTTTATTGTCCTCGGAAGGCTATGACAATCCACAAACATTTCTTGTGTTTAAATTGTGTGAATTTCACAGTAAAGCAGAATATAATTATAGTACATGTAGCTTGCATTTGCATTCTGATATACTCTTACAGGAATTTTGCAGCGGGCAGCTGGAAGTTGGTGAACAACATGTTAGGTTTTTTTTTCCAGCTAAATTACTCCATTGTGTCATTTAGTTCATCCTCAAACACAAATGATTTCCTTGTTGTGTCCAGTAACAATGTTGTTACATCTGCAGAAAATCCACATGATACTTGAAGGAGATGAAGAAGTTGTCTTGACAAGAATTTTCTGTCTTCCTCTTTCTGCATTTTTAGAAAAAATAAAAAGGTGATGTTTGACAGTAAGGAAGTTCTGAAGATTGTTCTTAATGATTGTTGCTTTGACTGTGAAATGATTATAATTAGAGTCAGATGACTATAAAATTTGCTGACTCAAAAATTTATCAAAAAAATTAGCAGCAGAGCTTTAATTAACCCTTGAAGTTGCATGAGTGATGAAGACAGAATTTCTACTTACAATATCAAGACAGTACCAAAGAGGAAAGTGACGAGAAAAAAAATATCAATTAGCAAAATATTATTTGATCCAGTACCAAATTCTCCAAACTAAAATCAAAAGAACTGTATGACAGAGAGTAGGGAGAATTATTAATTACATATTGGGAGGGAAAGGGTCCAATCAAGAAACATTTTCAAAATCTCCTGTAGCTTTGTTATCAAGGGGTCTCCCTTAAAGTGCCCATAATGTCAAAAAACGTTTTTCGCTCATCTAATTCTACATTTCACCAAATGAACTTCGGTGAAAGAATTTTTCAATTTAGATAATATGCAATTTTTTTATGAATTTTTACAAAGTTCAAAATTCTATTTTCTTGCGGTCGACCCCTGCCACTGATCACAAGAGTAACGTGCTCAAAATGACCAGGTGACTGATGTCTGTGACGTAGGTTCAGGAACCTCACTTGACCTTAAGTTTAAAACCAACACTGTCACAAAGAGCGGCAATGCACCTTCCGGGCATTTTAAACTAAATGGAGACCACTCTGAAGCAAATTCCCACTTGTTTTCAAGTCAGATAAGTCACAACCCAAAATCACGTGTTCCTGAACCTACGTCACGACTCACTTTAAACCAAGGAAGACTGGTGCGAAAGGTGGACCAAAATGGCAGTAAATTTGAATGTCTTTAAAAAAATTTAAAAAAATTGCGTTTTATCCAAATCGAAAATTTTTTTTGCAGAATTTCATTTGGTGAAATGTAGAATTAGATGAGCCAAAAACATTTCTTGACATTATGGGCACTTTAATGCTTCAAAGTGCACAAAAAAACTGCCAGCTACAAGGGTGTTTGAAAAGTCCCTTCCCAGCCTTTCTTTGGGATAAAAAAATTGAGGTATATAAAAGAATTGTTGTGAAGGATACTTTGGACTTTGCAGAAAAGGAGGGACTGCTTGAAGTCTATCAAAAATCCCATTTAATGCTCACCTCTATGTCTGCACATATTAGAGGTGAGTCATAACTGTCTGCAAGACTTGTCACCTCCTGGATACTGACAGCATGCATGGCTTCATTTTTAGCTGAAAACCAAGAAGTTATCAAAGATGCTGATATCTGGAAATCTGAAATCTGGAATGTTTGATTATGCATTAGGATATATTCAACCAAACCCCCAAATCTCTTCTTCCTCTGCTCTCACCCAGTCTTTCTCCTTAACATGAAGCTGCAACTAATTGAAGTCCTTTGTAATCAAAGGATTACCAGTACATCAAAATTTATAAAAATACAACCAACCTTTAATTAAAAACCCAACTTTTATCCAAGAGATAAAATTTATTTGATTCACCTCCTCCCACAAACCCTCATTAAAGAAATCCCAATTTTACTTCTATCATGGTGCATTTCTCTATCCAGAAAAATCTGCATTAATTTAACTTTGGCCTAGGTCCATAAGTCCTGCCTAGTAGGTCATGATGTGGCAGATTGGTGGCAGAAAGGCTAGGGAACAGACTAAAGACAACTTGTTGGACAGAAAACTGATAACCCACCACTGAAAGCAGCATTTTAGAGAAATGTAAACTTAGTCTACAGGTAGCCCTTCCCAGTGTACATTGTGGCATGAACAAATAAAAATCTGAAAAAATGTCATTATTTTCCTTTTTGTTTTGCTTTTGTTTTTTTGCCAACTATTATTGACTTGTTTGACCCATTTCACTAGGAAACACAAACAGCTTGTACTCAAAATGAAACAAGTATAATAATTGTAAACTAGCATAATAGACACTGATTATTACTGCTGTGGTATTATTTAATAACTGTAGATTGAAGTATTTGTTAGGGCAGAAAGAAAGACTTTACTCTGGATATTATGGGGCTTTGGTCGATGCAAGTTTTATTCTCTGTAAGCTAAGTAATGCCTGCCTGTCTTGTATACTTATCAAAAATACTGAATATCACTCTGGACCTCAAACAGAAATCCTGGTTAAATCTAAGCTTACCTTGTGTCACAACAAAGCAACAGTGTCCCAAGAAGTAATCGATATCAAGATGCTTCACCGATGATCTTATTGTTTCCATGCTTGAGGGGAAAAAAAATATAATTATGGTAAATTAAGCTAAGAGTCGCCTGAAAATCTAAGAAAAACCAAAACCAATCTGAACAAGTTTTAAAAAGTTGGAGAGATTCCCGTATAACCCCATAAATTATTCCTCGTCCCAAAGGTTAACTTTTGTTTTTTGCCATTGTTTTTATTTATTAATTAACTGCATGAATGAAGTATGGTAGTATCCTTGGCAGCCGTTTTTGGACTCGTCACGTAACGCACCTTTCCACGTTCTTGCGTGACGAGTTTACGAAAATCTTGCCAAAAAGTTAAAAGGGGTTTCCCTCGTAATTACCTCAAGGCATTAGTTAGGTCAATAAACAGCACAATGAAATCGATTCTAGGTCTTGTGTTTTCAGAATCCTCTGGCAAAGGTAGACTTGTTGCAACTCGACTGCGAAACAAAATAATTTTCTGCTCCATTACTGTTTTTGGTAAGTAAAGAATATACACCAGTAAATTAAAACACAGAAATTTCACTTGGACAAGAAGAGAATGAAAGGCACAACCTACATCTGAACCGAGAAATCAGCATGAATACCAAGCAAAGATCTTGCCAGTCGGTGCTTTCCAACCCCTTTAACTCCAACAAACTGTATGTAAAACGTCGAAAAGAGCATGTTCATTAGCTAATTCAACGTTTCAAAGCTTTTGAAAGCAAGGTAGTGAAAACAGAGTCAAGGAGGATCCATCCTTAATATAGCTTACCAAAATAGTCGCTTGATTCCTGTCTGGGAGTTTTGTAAACCGTGAAAGTATGTTTACGTCTAAATCCGCCATTTTTATTCAAGTTTCGCGCCTTACTATCGAGGAACTGGGAATGACCGTCCTACTGACGCCTGCGATATCTGAAAAAGTTTCCAGTGGTAATCTTTTCAAGATGGCGGCGAAGAAGAAGAAACCGAGGAAAGAGAAGAAAGTCCTTGTATTCGATGAAAACTCTCGAAGGTATTTGGAAAGTTGCTTAAATTTTCCCAATTTTTAACTCTACTTGACCCCTAGTGGTCACTAATTCGTCTCGTATCGACTAAAAGTTAATTTATTTATACACTGCCCATGCAGCATTGTTCCACTTGTTGAGTAACAATTGGTTCATGCTTTAGCGTGCACTATCGAGTTATGGAGCACGCGAGAAGTTTGGAGAGCACGAAAGAAGCGTAAGAGTTGCCCGAGGCAATAGCCGAGGGCAACTCTAGCTTCTTGAGTGCTCTCCAAACTTCCCACGTGCCCCATAACTCGATAGTGCACAGCTGAAAGCATGAACCAATTGTTTTAGAACATAGCCGGTGGAATTGTGCATCAAATCTGATGCCAAAAACGGACAAAAATATCTATTGAAGCGAATCGTGACGGCGCTGATGCCGAATCTCCTTTTCCGTTGTTTTTCTCTTTTTCTGCCTCATTTAAGAATTCTAGCCCAAGGGAAAAGGTCGAAAAATTGTCTTCGTTTTGGGATTAGTAGGCTGAGTCTCTGTTTCTATCCAATATCGTCGCAAAATATATTATTTTTCCCCACGCTGACAATGGACGCTCGCGCGGAAAAAAAAAATTTATGGCGAAGCAATTTGCTGATGCTATCAGCGTGCACTATCCGGATTTTGAGCATGCTTACATATAATGAATTTGATTGCGTGACTCTGCTAGCTATGTTCTAAAAGTACTTATATTTCATTTCAACAGCAGTGCATGTTTTCATTGTAAGGCGATGATCAGCTTTTGTATGTGTTCAGTCAATTAAATATGCAGGAAATGCTTCAAGTGCAATTGGCCTCACCAAAACAAAGCCCTGGGACTGTTGTGTCATTGTCACGTGTAACTTGTCTGTGATATTTATCCGTTTGTGTATACTGCTTTTAGGTGATGAATGCACAACCTTACCAGCTCACCTGATTTGACTTATTTCATTCCAAGTTTCATTCATTTAAAATGTATGCAACTTAACCCTTTCACTCCTAAGATTGGATTAGTAATTCTCCTTACTGTCTCCCATCAAAATTTTATGGTGTTTGTTTAGAGAATTTGGTATTGGGTCAACCAATAATCCCCATTGATATTTTTCCTTTTTCTCATCCCCTGTCTACTTGATATTTGTATTGATATTGTAAGGAGAAATTTTGTCTTGGTCACACATGAGAGTCATAGGGGCAAGAGCATTGACGTGTTAATGCCTTGGTGTTTTTACTTGATATTTCATTAGAACAGAAAACAAAACACACCTGAGTGCAAAAATGCACTTGTCTTACTACCGTGCACTACCTTGTTGACCTAAACTATTTTAGTGGATATTGGTAAATGCTATTGAACCTCATGCAAAACTTGCGGCGTTAAATACCAACACAATCCTTCAAAATGTTTCCTACATCAGTTGGGTGTTATCATATTTGTATGATAGCATGTATTACCCAAAATTGAAAAAAAAAAAATCTGACACCTTTCAAACACTATCGAAGGTGTTCCAGCAGCCTTGGACAATTTCAGAAGATGGTCAGTATTGTATCTTATTTTCATACTCAATCTTTAGGGAATATCTTCTTGGTTTTCACAAGAGGAAAAATGAACGAAGGAAAAAGGCCATGGAAGAATTAACAAAGCAGGAAAAAGAAAGAAGAAAGGAGCTTAAACAAGAGGTTAGTTTGCTGTCCATTGATGGCCTTTGCAAAATATCCCATAAAAGTTGAATGAAGGGTTGATTTTCCTGACGGATGACTTCTCTTGAAAGGCAATATCCTAAAGTTTTCCTCAATTCTCAGTGTACAGAAGCTGAAAGGAGAATTTAATCACTCTCAACTCCCCTAGAGGTAAGACTGAAAACTGTTGTAAGTTCTGAAAGTGTGTTTTATCTTCTTGCCCAGAAAAAGAAGAGCTTGATTGAACAAATGGAAAAACACAGAAAAGAATTAGGTAAGAATTTTAAGTGGGATTTGAAGACTCTTTATGCTTTATGTGATTATCAGTGACTTCACATTCACAAAGCCACCCTCCAACCAGGAATATAAATGGGTACCAACAGACAGTCACTTTCAGGGAATGTTTGAGAATTTTTAGGAGGTAACCTTGGATGGACTGGCATGCCATCAAGGGGGGGGTAGCAATACCTCTAGTCACTTTGAGTTATAAAAACTGAGATAAATTCTTCAGGCAGTGGGATACGAACTTCAACCAGTATTATTTAAGTAATTATGATATTATACCTTATGGTATAAGGTGCACAATTTTGTGACAAAACATCACTTTTGACCATACCTCACAGTCTTCATCAGCTAAGGGAGCTCTATGGTGTTGATTGGTTATGTGTTTGTGCAGTAGCTTGATAACAAATAGCTTAAAATGGTGGGTAATCCATTTATTTTAGCAAAAAAATATAACTTGGAATTATGAACTATCTGTTTCCTATTCCAGAGGCTCTGGAATCAGATGATGAGATTGAGGAGAAGGAAGCAGTTTCAACAGTTGATGCGACATTTGAACATCCTGAGCAAGTTGTCACGGTTACCACAATTAGTGATGTGAACTTGGATGGTGGAAAATTTACATGTATTGGACCTAACAAAGTAGGTGAATGTAACTGCGAATGTAGACTAGCCATATTAAATTCAACGTGTACTTTGACACGAGGCGCGGTGAGATACACTCACAATTTCAAACACACCAATGAACCTTTGTAGAAAACAGCTTAACTACCGCACAAGTGTCGAAAAAACTGATTAACCTTTGTAAACTCGGAATTCAACACTAACTATGGAATTCAGGTAAAAACTCGGTGGCCCTCGTGGTCTACACTAGAGGGCCACTCTCACGCATGCCTGAACTAAAATGCCTACGTAGGGGACCCAGCTGGGGAACGTGAAGCCCAGCGGTAACCGTGAAAGATGCTGGTGTATTAACTCTTTAGCACTCAAGATCTGATTATTAATTCTCGCCTTGAGCTGCTACACATTTTCTTGTAGATTAGATATGAGAATTTGGTGTTAGATCAAGACAACAACTTCCACCTGATAAGTTTGAGTATTCCCATTACCTGTTTTCTGTATAATGTATGGATATGATGGGGAGAACGTAGCGTTAATCATTTTTGGAAGTTAAAGTTTAAGTTTAGTTTAAGTTTAATTTATTCGCCACAGGAATGGCAGGAGAAAGGAACAGAACTTTCATTCCAATTGACACCTAACTCTTTTATTACCCACCCACCCCACCCTGGGGAGGACATCCATCACACAGTAATCTCGTGTGTGGGAAATTAACGTCTCCTACCCCAACCCTGCAGGAGACAGGACCTCCATTTATCGTCCCTATCCGAGAAGACTAGAAAGTCTAACCATTTGCAGATATTATTACAAAGGAAACACTTTCTTCTCAGTTAATTAAAGACCCTGAGTGTTGGTCCAGCTGGATTTGAACTCACGATCTCCCGCACAACAGTCTGGCGCTCTACCAATTGAGCTAACCGGGAGAATAAATTAATCTATAAATTTCCTATGATGCTGAAAAGGAGAATTTGTTTAACAATGTGGAGCTTCTCTAGTTGGTGACCATATCCTTTTATTCCTGTGACCCTTAATGTTTGATAGCTAATAGTTTGGTAGGTCTTTTCTTATTACTGTAATTACTATAGTTAGGAATTTCTAACTCAGAATTCAACACTAACTATGAAATTCAGGTAAAAACTCGGTGGCCCTCCTGGTCTACACTAGAAGGCCACTCTCACGCATGCCTGAAACTAAAATGCCTACGTAGGGGACCCAGCTGGGTTTAATAACACCTAACCCTTTTATTACCCACTAAATTATTGCAATTGTTTGTAATTTCTTATATTGTAATTTAGGTGAGGGCCACAGGTTTCTCAGTCTACGACTGTAAAGTGCTTCCCCCGTTAAATAAAGTTTTTTATTTATTTATAATTTTTTTTTTATTTTATTTATTCAGGGGTGATGTGGTGGGGAGAAATTAGATGCTAGTCACTCTTAAGGGTTCCTTTTTTTTCAAAAATAAATGGATTATCCTAAGGATTCCTTGTTACTCCCACCTATGCAGCACCACAGTTTCTTTCGAAACTTATCCCCTTTATTCCAAATGGTTAATCAATGTGCAAATCAGAGTCATGGCTCCCATTCATTTTGATTGGTAATGTATTATCAATTTAGCTTTAATTTGTAACTCTTTATGGTTGCCAATTTGCATTATCATTTTTTTTTACCTCTAACCTGCATTCAAATTAGATTTGAAATTATTCTTTAGTAGCATTTTTTATCTTTTTCTTTGAAAGGGGTTGATGGAAACAGAAACATCACAACAAAATTGTTCACCTTTAGAGAAACAGAATAAAACCTTTGTTAAAATGACGGAAAAGTAAGTTTACCTAATATTGTATCTACATCTTATTTCCTCTTAAGTAGGGGGAGGTGTTACGAGGTGTTACGAGGTCTTAAAAAAAATCAACTGTCATCTTTGGATCAAGATTTTCATGTCTGGAAAGTAATCTTTCATCTCTACTCGCTCATGAAAGGAACCTCATATGAGCTTGATATGTGCATTTTTTTTACCAGACCTGCTTTGGGCTTGTCTTTTTGTAACTTAGCAGATGCTTTGTTAATTTGGTACCCTTTAAGACTTAGAGGTAACTGTACAAAAGACTTTCCTGAACTGTTTACACCCACAGAACCACTCCCAAACATCAGCAAAACTCACACAAGAATTTTAGAAGAAGAAGAACATCAAATAAGAAAACTGACCGCCATCAGGATGGGCCAGCTGGAAAAAATAACAAGAGAAAAAAAGGTCATTCTCATCACAAATCAAAACATTTCAAGAAGAGTTGACTTTAACAACTCATGTTGTAAATTGTGTTTGATGGCCAAGGGGAAAATTAACAAGAACAGACATCTTCATCATGACATGGTTTAGTTCTGCACATGCCTGAGTGATACATAGGGTGCAAACTTTAAAAATCTTGGAAAGGTTTAGACCAATTGAACAAGTTTTACCTTTCACTCTTCACTTGAAAAGAGAAAAAAAGGCTGTTGTAGCATCTTCGGTGACAAAGGGGCTTGTAGGAATCTGTACTTATATTTATGAACAGTAAGAATGTTTGCAAGTGGTCTCTACTTGAACAAGCCAGTTTGATTACTCATCCTTACTTTTTTTTTTTTTTTCAACTGAATATAAAAATAATGAAAATAGGAATAGCTAGTTAGAAGAATGAACTAGTGTAATTTTTGGTATCACTGTGTTTGGCGTCAATTTTTTTGCTGTTTACTTTTGGGAAACCTATATTGCAGAAACGAGGTACAGTGGCCTTACCTTTAAATTCCTGCAGCATTCTATTCATATGTATTCCTGTTCCAGTGATATTCACCATGCCTTTCCTGTTACACTCAATATTACAGTCAGCCCCAACCAAAATTTACTTCATATTTAATGTGCTTTATGGTGTGTTCATCGATACATTGTTGTAACAATGGCACCCAACCAAAATTTACTTCATGTTTAATGTGCTTTATGATGTGTTCATGGATACAATGTTGTAACAATGGCACCCAACCAAAATTTACTTCATGTTTAATGTGCTTTATGATGTGTTCATGGATACAATGTTGTAACATTTCTCACAGCTGGAGAGTGTCAGTCATGACTCTTTTAGGATTAACAAAACTTTCATTGTCCTAAAGCAGAAAGATATAAAAGTCACATGCTCTAGCCTATCACTCATGTATCTCTACAAAATAAGAAATTTCTCCCCAACGGAAATCTCCACAGACTATGTCAAGAGGTATAGATGGGTGTCTGTTATGCACAAGAGTGCCTCTTGAGGTGACATCTTTGTGACTCTATTTTGTCCATTCATTAATAAACTACAAAAGGACTTTGAAAATTGTTGGAAATGTTTAGCATTTAGATTAATGGTGCAAATATTGCCTGGAGGGTAAGGAGAAAGTGGAAAAAAGATCAATGATCAAGAGACAAATAGGGATTAAATTTCTCTTTGATTTATCCACTTTTGAGATTGTTTGCACTGATGAAAGACCTTTGTACAGAGAATCTGCTGTGTAGATGACACCAAAGAAAGCTGATTCAAGAGTATATTCAACCAATAATTAAACGGGAACAAATAATAATATTTACAATAATAATCATAACAGTAGTAATATAATAGTAATTTAAGGGGCTATTTCAAAAGCCTCATGGTTCTCTTATCCTCTGAGCTCCAACAATGATTACATTATGCTTCTTAACTGTAAATGATTTATTTTATTTTAATCGCAATTCCGTTTATTGAGACTTCTGGTATTGGACGTTCCGCCGATCCACCGGTCCTCTCTTACGTCATTCAATTTTTGATTTGAATTATGCGTCGGGGGATGCCACTGTGAATTTTTTTGAAATGTAAATCGTTTTTACTAGCGTCACGTAAGGTAAGAGCTAAAAAGATTATACTTTAGGGTCTACAAATTGTGCTGATTTAAACGCTAAGATGCTCTCTCTTCAAAGAAAAAAAATTCCCCACGTTTTACGATGCACCAATCACACCTATTAACATATTTCTGCCAAGAAAGTTTCTGTTTTAAATCACGTTCAATCCTAAAATGATCGTTAGATTTCCAAAAGAGATCGCTCTCTGCTGTCTTCCGTAGTGTCACGGCAAGAACTGAATACATAATGCACTAGTGGCTATAATCCATAAATCCAAAAGAGAGAGATCTCAAATGTGTATCGAGTGCGAATGGCAAACTACTTAGACACTCCGGAAAAAAAAATAAGTAGCACCGGGAAACATCGGGTCAAAATTGGGTCAAGATCGGAATTCTATTGTTACACTCACTCACTCATCTCGACAGCGTACGTGGCTTCGTCACCTAAAGGAGGCAGTAGCCACAAAAAAAAAAAGGAAAAATAGGTCAGTGGTCATTGAATTATCCAGACCCCATACTAATTGCCGTGAGCTTCAAATAAACACAGGAAGGCCATACGCGGTGTTCATACACAACATTAGACCGAATTGTATAAAGCAGATTGCATTCCGAAAAAATTTGGATGATTCCGTTTACTTTTTTTTAAGTCTCTTGGAATCTGACCTAGATTTTAATAAGCTTTTTTTTTTTAAAAAGAAAAAAATTCTAAAAGGATTAAATTTGTTAGTTAGCGAAGTTTATCCTTACCTTCTTGGTTGCCTCAATAGCCCATTTCCGAATTACCCTTAACCTCTTTTTCAAAACGAGGCCTTGTGCTCAACTATTCTTGTGAAAATGAGTTTGCATGTGAATAAAAACTTATTATCATATGAAAGGATGAGCACCAGGACTCGTTTTGAAAATGAGGCCAAGGGTAATTCGGAAATGGGCTATTTGCGTGCCCGTTATTTTGTTGTTGCTTTGCCAAATTGACAGAAAAGTAAGCAAATGCCACTTAGGCTCTTAAAGCTTCTTGTTACCTAACTAAAGTTCGCCTGATTTCTTATCTTGAACTTTTTTTTCTAATTTGCTCAAAAGGACACACCAGAGAAGCCGCCTCAGGGTGTCAAGAAAGAATAAATACCTCTATTTGTCCACCTAAAATGACGTAACGTTCTAAATGTGTCAGCAAATTGCAAGACTTTACCAGAAACTCATTATAGATGGTGGTGTTTTAATTGTCGTTTGCGAGAGTAAACGCACAGTTGAATAGTGTCTTGAAGATCTGCTCACCGTCCAGGGTCTTACTTCTGTGCCAGGAAATATTCAGAAATTTTCTTTTGACTATGAGATATGGCATCATCAGAGAAAAACATCTGGGAAATTCTGCAATTATGTTTGATTTGATCTCGCCGTCTTCACTGGTAAGTTACTTTTCACATTTAGATTTAAGGATTTTGCACAATTATATCAACTTATTTCTCGTGTAGATAACATGCTATTCTTTCCACAGTCGACTGAGCTTTGTTTTGTTTTGAGTATATGTCTATCATGATGTTTATCGATTCGAAGACTAAATTTAAAGACCATGCAAATCATGACACGGTTCAATGAGCTTATGGCAGGCGGTTTAGTCACCTGCTCTGACAGGTGACTAAACGCCAATAATTTTTACGCCAACTTACGCCAAGAATTTTTCTTTTGCAACATATATTACTTCTTGGATTTTTCCAAAAAGGGTTGCACATCGTAACCAGCCAGCAATTATTTCCGAAAGCGTGTGAATAAAAAAAAAAAAGTATATAAGAAAGTTAGGTGTCAACTAATTATCTTGGCAATGATAACAATATTTACAGTCAAAATATTTTTACTACCGATTACTTGTGTAGACCTTAATTTTAAAGATGTTTCAACAAAATTTTGGTTAAATTTGAGTTGCACAAAAATTTTGACGGCCTTTGGTCTCGGAAAAGACGGAAGACAAGCTCTCACTAGATTAGTACTCACTACGCGAGCAACAGGTACTGTAGAATGGTTTCCAGTGCCTTACCATTGCTCGCCCGAAAAATAAAAATATTAACAAAGTTGGAGGTGATTCTTCAAGGGGCTATGATGCTAATAAAAATTCCTTTTCGCCTTTCTCAGCGACAAGAAATTTTCAAGAATGGGTGGAGCTATTTATAAAGACAGCGCTGGTGTTCTTTACGAAGAGCACAACATTTATCTGAACTCGATACAAACGTTGGGGAGGTAAGCTTAAACTGAGTGAGAAATTTTGGCTGGGAGGCTGTAGGCTCTGAGAACCTGGAAACGAGGTTGAAAAACCACATGCCTCTGATCAGCGTGAAAAAATTTTCCTAGATATCAATGAAAGAAATCCAATCTTGTTGCGATTAGACTCGCTGCGATCGTTGCATGAAATCACCCATTGTATCCCTTACTTCTTGCTTGAGGCAAGGATCAGTGTTAAAGTGTCTTGAGGGGAGGTTGAAAATGAAACGTAACAGATGTCTAAGTTTGGATTCACTTGATATTAAAAGGATTTCCTCTTGATTTAGGGTTGAACCGACACGCCCGATAACTATCCACCAAAAGGCACTTTTCTGTCTCTGGATGTCCATCATCTTTCTGTGGGTTATGCTGAAAACCAAGCGTCATATTCTGAAGTGGCGAGACAAGAGACGAGCCAAGGAAAATGAGGATGAAGAGGCAGAGGGAGACGAAAAAGGTAGCTGCAAATACCGCAGATTCAATGTAAAAACCTTTCGTAAGAATACCGCAGAGTAATGGTTTTACTAAAGGTTGTGTTACTTTTTCGTGCAAATTTGTCACGCAACTTTTACTAGCATCCGTAACATCACTAACTGAAAATATGCTATGACTAGGTTCAGTTCTGTGTTTCAGTTTGAGAAAATTCGTTCTTCTGAAATACTCCCTGTGACTAGTTTCGAATTTTAACCTGTACCCTCGTAATCTATCATACAGTGATTGTGTAACTCCTTTTCCTGTGTTCTTATGATGTTGACATGTACAGCTTATTGTTGTGCGATTTAGACAAAATGAGATAGTAACTTACAATTTGTTTTTCGTGTTTTTAGCGAAGGAAAGTGTCTTGATATCTTTGTATTCAGTTTCCAAATCACGTAAGTAAAATTGCGCAAGAGTTTTAAGTTTTGATAATGTTTGCTTCAGTTGTGGTATAATATTTTAGCAATCAACATGCAACAATCGGGGGCAATTTTAATGCCTTTCAGTTTTCAAAGATTTTTCACAACAGTGTTTTGGTTGTTGTAGCAGGGCTGTGAAACTTTTTTAGTCAACCTCATTTCCAGGGTCCTTTCTCTTTTCTTCCCCCTAGGGAGAAACAGAGAGGACTCTGGGAACGAAGTTGCGGTCTTAGTCTGCGTAGCTGGCATCGAGGGGTTTTTTTAGCGGGGCAGCTACAAAAAGAAAAGAACCGTAGGATGGAGAAAATTTTCATTGCGATCGTCTACGTAAACGGAAGGTTGGTAACATGCATTCTAGATATCCGCTTTAAAAAGCTCCCAGCAGTCTTGCACGAGAGTGGCAACATCTGCCCCTCTAGAATCACCGTCATAATGCGTGGACAGCACGAGGTAGTGTGTTATGGGTAGACAGGAGGTAAGGTCTCGCCCTCTTTTCCCCACCCCTTGTTCCTCCCCGCGTTCCCGTCCCGCATCACGCGCACAACGAAAAAGACTGGGGATGAATAGGTCGACAAAATGACGACCCGGTAAAGTGGGACCAGCCCGTCAAGGTATTTTGGTTGATAGCCCTTACCTCCAGGAGGAACATCTAAATTTTACATTACCCTCTGCTTACACTATGCATCTCAGATTAAATCACAGGTCAAGTTAAAAAAAAAATTCTCACTTTCGTATGAATCGAGCCAACTGTGGTCACTTTGATTTCTTCTTCTTCTTCTTCTTTTTTTTTTTAGCCTCAGTATCACGATTTGGTCGCGGCGACGCGACAGAGGGGGAGAAAAGTGACCGAGGAATATTTGACAAACTTCTAGAGACAGACCCGGATCAGCCATCTTTTGAAGATTTTTTGACAAAAGCTGTGATTTTTGGGGTGATTATGCTTTATTTCTGGCTGTGCGACTACCAACATATCTGGTAAGGGCACTGGAGACAGATAGAATCGATTAAATCTTTCCCTACCACGTGTTCTGCGAGTGTTCATTAAGCCAGTGGTTGGATTCTTACGAACGTCACGGAACTAGAAGCTACGTTTGACATTTCTTTTACTAGTTCATGGGGGTTTTACCACGAGTAAACGCAAAGAAAAAAATTATGATACAACAAAAACAAAACCATGAAAAGAGACCCATAACAGAACAAACAAATAAACAAGACAAGGGGAAAAACAGCGATTTACTTATAGGCCATTTTCGATTTTATGTCAAAATCCAAACTTGGCTCCGATGCTTGGGGGAATAAAACAAAAGAAATCACAT